CCTCTCTCTCTCTCTCTCTCTCTCTCTCTCTCTCTCTCTCTCTCTCTCTCCCACTCTTCTTCTGTAGAGGTACCTTTCTTTCTCTCTCCCCCTTTCCTTCTTCTCTCTCCTCTTCCCTCTCTCTGTCCATCTATTTCTTATTTCTCTCTTTCTCTCTCTGTCTCTTTTTCCCATACCCCCATAACCTTATACCCTCCCAACTCTCACTAAATAAACTCTCCATACCCAAACTTTCTCTGCATGGTGTATCTGTCTGTCCCTTGCCTGCTGCGGTCCTCAGTCGCCGTGGGCCCTGCCAGGGTCACCTGTGCCATAATCACAACACTGTTCACATCAGCAGGATCTTCTTGGAACTTCTTGTAAGAGTTTTAGAGCCCTGGGGGTTCAGGAGGGGCTTTGGGTTGGCATCTACTTTTGAATTGGAGGTTAGGGGAGACACTAACACATGGACAGACAGGATGGACTAGGCAAAGAAAGGGCCTACTCTTATAGACTTTACAGAGAGGCAGAAGTCTCAGGACATGTGGTTGACAACACTATATACCAGCAGTCAGGTTTTTCTCTGGCTCCTCAGTGGCAGTAAGAGGAACAAGTTTCAGCCTTTTATTTGATTGTATGTGTAGCATAATATATGAGCCACTTGAAGTTCCTGATCACTTAGGAAAAACCTTCTTTTGGGACATGAGAACTAGAGTCACAGGCAAACTGTATTCATTTCTCTATAGTAGCGGGTCAGAGGAGAGAAGTGGGTGTGGCCTGGAGTAGCCCCAACCTACCAATTTATTTTTAAGTGTTTAAGGCCCCCCCCATTATTTTCATACTTTCTGAATTATTTGCTTTCCCGCCAACAGTGAGCATGAGTTCTCTGTTTTGACGGTTCTTGGTGACACCTGCTGTGTCTCCTCTTCATAATAATTATAGATGGAGGCCTGAGATGGTATCTTGCAGTAATGTGTCTGGTCTTTCCATTCACACTGGCGAACTTGGTGATTCTGAACGTTGTACCGCGTTCCTGTAGGCTGTCGTGAAGAGGTGCTCAGGACTTGTGTCTATTTCTAATGAAAACGTTCTCCTTTGCACTGAGGTAGTCTAGTGTTTTATGTGTTGGGAGCACCAATCCTATCACAGATTTGTGCTATGTAAGGTTTTTCTCATATCGCATAGAGCGTCTCTTTAGTCTGTTGACTATGTCCTCTTCTGGGCAGGAACATCTTACCTTCTTAAAACTCCACTAGTCTGCTTTTGCTTTGCATTGTGGCCTCTGCTTTTTCCAGTCAAAGTAAATAATCAAATTAATTAACTAATTAATTAATTAAAATTTCAGCTCCAAAAGCCAACATGGCTGAGCTGCTCTCAGCCATGGCCAGAGAAGCTTCATTTTACAGAGGAAGAAAACCAGCCTTCTCACCCTGAAGGAGTTCCTGCAACACCCCACTCCCAGCCCATATCTCCTATGCTTCATAGTCATAGTCTAAAACTGTATTTATCACACTTCTCTTATCGGCTCAGCTAACCAAAGCTTCTGTTTGTACTGTTAATATTGGACCATAAATGCCAAAGTGCTTAATGAGTTGATGATAAGGATGGTGTCTGGCAAAGAAAGTGCAGAAGCCGAAAGGTCACAGTTGCAGCAGAGTCTGGGGGCAGCATTACCTCAGCTGTTCCTCCCTCAGATGGCGTGGGCCTAGAGCCTGCAGAAAAGGTTGGAGTCACAGTGAGCTGGCTATATTCCTCCAGGAGGGAAACTCAACCCTTCATCAATGTCACTCATGAATAGAGAACAGAGAGTGGCCCCCACCAGATGGAAACTACTCAACTCTGTGCCAACTTCCTGCTCCCAGGGCAAGGCCTCAGCAAAATCTCCATGGTGACAGCTATTCAGATATGTGCTAGCCTGTGATCACTGTGGGAAAACTGGCAGACCCTGCTGCAGAGACACCCTTCTAGGGTCAATAAGAGTGCTCAAAATAATTGGGATAATATCAGGGATTCCCGCTCCTTGAAGTGTATCTCACACACGTTTGTCTTTAGATTCATCCCACGAGCTCCCCTGAGAGGTTTCTATTCTTCCCTCATCTCAGAACAGAACCAATATTCTACCACAGGTTCCTGTTACAAGCACTTCTTGGGGACAGGATGACCATCCTCCTGTCAGCTTCCACCTGGGAACAGTCCTTGGAGGAACTCACTGCCTGTTCTCCAGGAGACTGGCAAATCACTCTCCTCTCACACATCTTGGGCTCCCCAGAGCACTCTCCTCAGGGAGGACCACTGCTCTGCCATGTTTATTTGTACATTTCTCCGTGTTATGAGTGACCTGTCTCAGTCCCTTCACAGATGGCCCTCACAGCTCTCCATCACCGATGGTCTCTTCTTCCTCAACCACATCAGTTTGTTAGGTAAGAGTCCTGTTGGGTTGAGCTTCCCTTATTCCTCTCTTGCCTGTGCTGTGTCAGGAGCAATTCTCTTTCTCTAGGCCTTGAAGAGAGAACACAAGAGAGCCGAGCCTCCTTTGAATGAAGTCATCTGAAATCTCCAGCTGAGCTGAATAATCTTTGTCCTTTAGCAACACTACCTACTGCTCTACCTCTCAGCTCCCCAACTGTAAGTGCAGATAAGACATGACCCCACTCTTAGGGCAACGTGAGGATCACACCTATGAGGATAGCACAGTTTTCTCTGGCTGCCCTCTGTCCTCTCTGAGGGGCCAGGCAGCACTTCATATAGAATGCTTGCTTCCTGACAAGGTCCTGGGATGTTCCCAGGGTCAGATGCAGGTCGGTCTCCAGATAAACAGTGGATGACAGGCCAGCTGAAGATGCCCAGCTGTGCAGAAATGTCAGTTCCCTCCAGACATGCTATGGTGTCATCCTGTGACCTGAAAACCTCAAGCAGCAGAGAAGGCTCTAGCTAGTGGAAGCCCCAAGAATCCTGTCCTAGGGTAGGACCTTCTCCTATGTTACCTGTACCGTGAGTCTGGAGCAAACTCCACAGGAAGAGGGGAGGGCTGAGCTCTGTCAGACTCACAGGTCTGCAGAGCCTGCTGAGGGTCAGGATGAAAACTGCTGATATTAGTGCTGCCTATGACTCCAACCTGGGGCTCTACCAGATGACCACCTGGAGGATGGCGTGAAAACACAGGAGAAAGCAGACTGCTAGAAGTCCATCCCACTCAGAGTGAACAGCAAAAACAGTAGACTGCCCTGACTGAACTCATTCTTTTGGCTTTAAGAGACAGTAACAAGATCCTGAGAGAAATGCACGTGGCATAGAGAACAAGTCCAACAAAAGGTGGGGCCCCAGCAAGAGAAAGTACAGGTAGGTCAAGGGGTCAGTGATGACAGGTTTATACTGGAGTAACATCCCCACCCAACACCTGCCATCCAGTCACTGTACATGCCCACTGGTGTCGAGTCCACAGATAAGGACTCTTTGATACATGATCTTCTCACCTTCTTCCTTCTGGTCACATTTGGTATTGGGTACCTCAGAGGGGCACTTGAATAGCTGGTAAACTGCTTAGGGGGTGTACACCTGGGTCCCAGCAGATCTCCTCCACTCCTGGCTATCATCAGTCTCACAGTGTGAAAGTGAGGGGCTATGGCAGGTTTTCCTACCCTTGGAAGCTCATCTGCCTCATGCCCCATGGGACCTCGAGGTACATGGCACCAGACATGGTGTTATTCTATGCCTCGGCATCCATGGCTGCCATCAAGCAGGATGAAATGCAGACTCAGGGCCTAGGGTAGAGCCTCCCGACTGCTGTACTTTGCTGTAGCCCTGACTCTTGCTCTTTTTCTCTGGCTTCTGCTCTCTAGTCACCTTGATCAAAGGTCCCTTCTGCTCCTTTGATGAAAAAGGCTGAGACGCATTACAGCTGGCAGAGGAGACCACCAGGCCTTTAGATCACAGAGGAGCTCGGATGAAAAGGCCATGAGCATCGCCAGAGAACCAAAGATGACCGTCTAAGGTCAGTTTGGCTTGACCCATCCTGGAAGATCTAGATGCCTTTGAGGTATAGAGACTTGTTTCTGGAAGGTTCATGTCTGCCTCCTGGCTGTGATATTGGTCCCTACTGCCTGAGGATAATGCTGAGCCAGCTGGGAGGGTAGCCCCAGTGGATGGTGTTAGGAGTTCAGAGAGCATTTGGCTCCTCAGTGTCATCCATTGAGGGAAGTCAGAGCCAAACTCAAGCAGGAACCTAGAGGCAGGAACTTAAGCAGGAGAGCATTACTTGCTGACTTTCTCTTTGAGGCTTGCCCATCCTGCTCCTTATATCATACATGACCACCTGCCCAGGGGCGATGCTGTGCTCACTTAGCTGGGCCCTCCCGCATCAATCATTATTAAGAAAATGATCCCACAGACTTGCCTATAGGCTAATATGATGGAGACAGTTCCTCACGGAAATTCCCCTTTCTCCAGGGATGTCTAAGTTTGTTTCAAATTAACAAAAACCAACCAGCACATTTGGTTTCACTGTTTTTATTTAGATTATGAAAGAGCAATGAAGAGTGAGATCTGAGGGTTCCAAGCTGAAGTAAACCCTCTGTTCCACAAGTTGTTAGAAATCCTGACTGAGACAGAGACAACACTTAGTCTAATGCCAAAAAGTGCTTCCCTTGGTCTAGAGATGTGTCTCGGGGGCGCCATAGTTCCTAGCAAGCATGAAGTCCGGGGTTCTCTCCAGCATCACACACATACATGTATAGATGTGGACATGCATGCACATACATACATACAAATGGTTTTTCTAGTAGTTTCACAAATTTCTTTCCAATATGAATACATTTCCCTCCCTTCCTTCCTTTTTGGCCTTTATTTATTCTTTTTTTTTCAGTGTTAATTTTTTTTTAGTTACTGATTTGGTTTTCCTAATTTTTCTGACTAGGATTTCTCGTCCTATATATGCAGGAGAATAGGAGAAATACTGAAATAGCCATCTCTGTGTATCTCATAATGTTACAAAGTGGACACAGGTTTTCACATAAAGAACGGAGGAGTTGTCACCAGGTTTTATTTGTTCTGTGTTTCGGAAGTAGCCATCCAGGTATACCAATGGGTCCATGGGCATAGGGGTGTGGGATTGCCAGTTCATAGAAGATCAAAGCAAGAATTTCAGCGGGAGCAGAAAAATGAGAAATGATGAACCGAATTTGGCGGTAGGGTGCCCGTGGTTTGAAAGAGGTGAGCTGCATGAGGTTTTGATCTGTATTCTACCGAGGACGGTCATATCCAGGTCGCAGGAGTTTTCAGTTGCACAACCCTTCCCATATATAATTAAACTTGAATCTCCCACACCTAAAAGAAATATCCAGGAGTTAGCGTGATTCTTGTTCTCCTCTTATTTCTCCTCATCACCCAGATCCCCTGGGGAAAGAAATGTGCCCAGAATGATCTTAAATAAGGAACCCCTGTTCTGGATGATAAACATGAGAAAAGCTCCCTTCATCAGCAGCTGAACCCCAGGTTAAGGCTCAAGTAACAGCAGCGGGGCTCAGCATGGCTTCTTTACAAGAGATGAACTTAACAAATGCAGGAAGGACACCACCTGAATGACCTCACATGTTTGGGTAGATTCTAAATTGTATCTTTGCTCCATCCTAACTTAGCTATGGAAAATAGCTAAATAATGGGAAATGCCATAGCTCCCCACAAGCCAAAACCCTTCTCTCAAGACCTCTGAGTTCCATGGAGGACTGATACCATGGGAGCATATGTCTCACTGGATGGCTTCACCTCACCCCTGTATTCTGTGGGCATCCTGTTATCCTCACTCATCTCAACTTATCTAGACAAAGGTTCTTTCCCCTACTTACATAGTCTCTTCAACTACCAACAAATGGCTCCCTCCAGACCTTGGAGAGATAACCAAATGCTTGGCCTCATATTACCCTTTGCTCTGTGTGGAAAACATCTTCTAAGATGATCTCCTCCCTCAACTCACTCCAACTACTGGCAGAGTGGACTTCTGTGAGACCCACTCATGTTGTATCAGAACTGTCCTGTGGGGTCAGCAAGATACAAGTTGCTAAGAGGGATGAGATAAGACTCTTGAGAGGGTTCTCAAGCATTGAGTGATAAGAAAGGACGGGATACAGGTAATGGACACAAGAGTCATGACAGGATATGTGTCAGATTGCTTTTCTAGTTTTGATTCTGTCCTGGATTTGTTGTTGGTGCTGTTTTCATTGTGTGTGTGTGTGTGTGTGTGTGTGTGTGTGTGCGTGCATGTGCATATGATGGATAAGTGCCTACACTTATAGTTGATAGGGAAAGTGTAAAAGTCAATCTAAATCTTCACAGCTTCATAATGGCTGCTCTAACTGTATATATGTTCATTGACATGTGTAATCTTTGGATCCAGCTAATCTCATTACATGATGTTTCTTTTTTAATTTGTAAGTTCTTTACAATAAAGTTTGAGCTTAAAAATGATATGACACTTCTGAGATTAGACTATTAAAATCTATAGCTCCCCTTATCAGACTGTGCCTCTCTGTATCATCCTTGGCATGTAGAGGAGCCAATTGATATGCTTGAGACCACTGCATGAAGAGGAATTGCCACCACCAAAATTATGAGTGAACTAGAAAACAAACCCACCATCTGAAGGACTACAGCCTGCTGACAAGTCACACAGTCCTGGGAGACACTCTGAGCCAGAACAAGCGACCGTGCTGGACTCAGGTTCTAGGCAGACATGCAGAAACTGGGATGCAATGAGCATTGACTATTTTCAGCTGCTCAGCTCAGACTCACAGAACTAAATGCTGGGTTCACTATATCCTTGAAGAACATCCAAATCTTAGACAAACAATAAGAAAAAGTAAGCAAGGGTATGTATATAAAATTGTCTGAAGAAATACTCATACCTTTGCCGGTAACCTCAATGCACCTTTTCTCTTCCCCTGTGCACTTTAGGGTGGTAACTGAGGAGCATAAATTTGTTTTCTCATTGTAGCAGGCAGGACATTCAACACCATTGGGTGTGGAAGATGGTGCAGGCACTGAATGGAGAGAGAAAAGTTTTCATCTTGGGGAATAGGCAGAAGAAATAGTTGTGGACATATCTATCCATTATTCATATAATATAGCTTCCCCCCATGATTCTATCAAAAAACATTGCAGCCAGAATGAACTGGAAGGAAGCACAGGAGAAAGATGAACTGAAAGGAGGCCCAGGAAAAAGATGAACTGAAAGGAGGCCCAGGAAAAAGATGAACTGAAAGGAGGCCCAGGAAAAAGATGAACTGAAAGGAGGCCCAGGAAAAAGATGAACTGAAAGGAGGCCCAGGAAAAAGATGAACTGAAAGGAGGCCCAGGAAAAAGATGAACTGAAAGGAGGCCCAGGAAAAAGATGAACTGAAAGGAGGCCCAGGAAAAAGATGAACTGAAAGGAGGCCCAGGAAAAAGATGAACTGAAAGGAGGCCCAGGAAAAAGATGAACTGAAAGGAGGCCCAGGAAAAAGATGAACTGAAAGGAGGCCCAGGAAAAAGATGAACTGAAAGGAGGCCCAGGAAAAAGATGAACTGAAAGGAGGCCCAGGAAAAAGATGAACTGAAAGGAGGCCCAGGAAAAAGATGAACTGAAAGGAGGCCCAGGAAAAAGATGAACTGAAAGGAGGCCCAGGAAAAAGATGAACTGAAAGGAGGCCCAGGAAAAAGATGAACTGAAAGGAGGCCCAGGAAAAAGATGAACTGAAAGGAGGCCCAGGAAAAAGATGAACTGAAAGGAGGCCCAGGAAAAAGATTAACTGAAAGGAGGCCCAGGAAAAAGATTAACTGAAAGGAGACCCAGGAGAAAGATGAGCCGAAGGAGGCCCAGGAGAAAGGCCCTGCCGTATGAGTGCAGTGAAGGATCTCCCACAGGAATCCTGTGCTGTGATTAGCTTCATTAGTTACCCTGTTCTCTGCCCTGAAAAAGAGGAGTCCTAGATAATGAGGTAAGAGATCATCTGTTTTCTAAAAAGTTGCCAATCATAGGTTGAGGAATGAGCCAGGTGTGGTCATGCACACTGTACTTCCAGCTACTCCATTGCAGGCTGATGTGGGGGATTTACTTGATCTCAGTAAAACAATACAAGTCTGGATACATGCAAGGCTACATCTCAACAACACAAAAATTTAAGATGAGTAATAAAACAGGTGAGGAACGTCTGTCAACTGGAGGAGCAGAGCAAAGCATTTAAACATACTGAGTCATTGAACCTACTTAGAGAATAGACCCAGGAGCAATTACTGCTGCACAGCTGTCACCCAGTCTGTGTACACAACTGTGTGCACACATACCCAAGAGAGGGGCGTGTATCCAACTCAGACCCTTTACAAAGGAAAGCTTCAAGCAAAAAGGGAAGGCAAGTGTCATGGCTGCAGCCCATCAGCAGAGAGATGCACCCAGGGAAAGGCAGAGGGGCCCTGAGAAGGTGGGGCCCAGGCCTGAGCAGTACTCACGTGTTAAGTCATCTTTGTTGCAGTTAACAGATGTGCAGCAGCTGTTTGCATAGTTAAATGTCCGTTGATCCCCCAGGGTTGCTGAGATTGTTAGGCTACTGCATGTGTTTGAGTCCGCAATACATCCTTTTTGTTTAAATGTTCCATCTGTCAGGACAGCTGTAAAAAATTAAGCCACCAAGTAAATTTTCCTCCTGAGTTAGTGGTAAAGAACCTGTTGCTTCATGCCCTCTGCCTTGAGTACTGCACTTTTCCAAGAGTCCCTCCATCTGCAATGGTCTGTTTCAGAGAACAAACCAACAGAGGGACCATTTGTTACTAAGGGAGTTACTGGTCGTAGAGTACATGCTTAGAATGTGTGATGCCCTGAGTTAGATTCCTAATAGTGTGAAAGTAAGAAGAGTCACACCCGAATGGTCCTCATCATGTAGAACCCAGGTCCTACAACAAGCATGTGCTCCATCTCCACCACCTCCCAGAACCCCAGCCCCCAGTCTCATCCTGGAAAGGAAGCAAGGATAAACTGGAGACACTCAAGGTGTGAGAGTTGGCTTACATGGTGTGTCAAATTTCTGTATTTCATTGAAGCAGCCTTTAGTGGTTTCACAAGCAGCACATGGTTCAGTTACACATGGATATACCGTACACTGGTAACTCTCTGCAAGGAAGAAATATACATCATTTAAAAGATAACCCCAGAGCCAAATAGTTAACATTTCCTAGGAGCCAAGAAGCCATGAGGGGCTAGACAGACCACTGGAATCTCATCTGGTTGGTTATGTCCCCAGGCTCTTGACTGCTCACCTCACCTCTCCCTTCTTGAGGAGAAAGTAATGCCATTTTTAGTCTTACCCACAGAGCTGACAGCCAAGTTGATAAAGACAAAGACTGTGAGGAGGCTCTTCAGGCTGGAGGACCAGGCCATGGTGACTCCTGTGAACACTGAATGAGATGCAAGTGAGGACAGTGGGGTCAGAGCTATGGGGCTCAGACCTGTAATCCAGCAACCCCCGCACCCGACTGTTATTTATCTATATAGTCATTCATTCAGTCATTCTTTCGTTCATTCACTCATTCTTTCTGGAAGCCAAAATTTATCTAACACTGGCTTTATGCTAGATGTGACCATTTGAAAGGATACAAAACTGGAAAACATTCCATATCAAGGCATGGAGGATGGGAGGGGTCTTTCTTCCCAGGGAAGGAATTTTACCCAAGAGAATTCTTCTTGCATGGGTCCAGAGGGCACTAGATCTCCCTCCACAGTTGACAGGGCTGAGTCAAGAATGGCTCCTCTGGAGAGCAGGTGCAGGCTCTCTATGTGGTAGAAAGTTCTGAGCCATGGTGCTCAAGAGCCATCAGCCCCTTAGCTAAGGACATGGATTCACCAGCTCCAAAGTCATCTTTCCCTTAACAGCTGGCCTCCCTCACCAGGTATCACAGCCCACACTGGAAATGCTCACCAAGAAGTAGTCTTGCTCTTCTGAAAGGACTGCCTTGAGATGGAGAGGAAGGCCAGTGATCTCACCAGAGAGACGAAGAAAGGAACACTTCCTCTGCCCTCACTGTCACTGACTTTTATAGGGCAGAGGACCATTGCCTGGCGATTGGTAAATTGCCTGGCGATTGGTAAATAGTATCTTGGCGTGAAGCCAAAAGTACTAAACTTCCTCATCTTCTAGAGAGAGAAAGTGATACTGTGAGAACAGCTCTTCTTGGACTTCCAGTTGGAAAGGGATGGAGGAGGGGAGTAAGGAAGTATAATGGCTCTGTCCCCAAGGTGAGCTACAAAAAAAGTTTGGAACACTAGAAAGTTGAAGTGGATAGGAGGCTGGCCCACAGCTTGTAGCAACCATCTTCCACCTTTCCTTGGGGCAAATTCCTAGTGTTCCCTCTTCCAAACCTTCATTTCTTCCTAGGGTCAGCCTGGGATCTATTTAGTTCTCTGCCTACAAGGAACTGGGTGGCTTCCTCTGCAATTTCACCTTCTCTGTCTATGTCTATGCCAGCCTCTGGTTAGAGCATCACTCACCAGCCTTCTTATTTGCAACGGAGAGAAAGGCTAAGCTAGAAGGATCACTCTTCCTCTAGCCTCTGCCAGTCACCCAGACCTTGGGCATGCTCTCTCAAACTTCAGGTGCCAAGGAGAGGGGAAAGCCTCCTTGGGGAACAGTGTGCAGAGTGTTGAAGAAGGTGTGGGTTACAGAGAAGGAATGGGGATTTGTATGTGCCTCAGAAACTATAGTGTAGAAGGAAAGAGGAAGGACACATGACAGTCACAGAGATGAAGAAATAAGGAAAGACACTTCAGTGGTCACAGAGATTAGCAGAGACTTTCCTGGAATTTCTACACAGGCCTGAAATGGTGTGTGTGTGTGTGTGTGTGTGTGTGTGTGTGTGTGTGTATGTGTGTGTGTGTGGTGTTACTAGTGTTCAAAGTAAGTTGACCAAACATATCAGGGGTCCCAGAGACGTGAGATGGGAGATACTTGCTACACTCTCAAGGCATGCTGAATGAAGATCATGGGTCCCTAGTGATGAAGACTACCTCACTTCCTGATTAGAGAGTGAACCATTGCTCAAGATTATGAGGTGGCAGCCAAGACAGGCTGTACATTCTACCCCCACCCCAAATATAGCTCAGGCCTTTTCAAATAGTTTAAATCTTGCCTTCCTAAGAAGGAATCCAGTGCCCATGCCTTGTGGCATTTCATAATGTGGCCCCTGCCCCCCACTCCCATCCTATCACACCCTCACGTCCTCTCCCAGGGGCAAAGTCATAGCTAAAGACTGTATTTTATGGTTCCTGATTGATTCAGCTTAAGAAACCCCACTTTATGGAAACAGTGTGTTCCTATTAGCTGAGGAGAACAGAGATAAGGATGGCTAACTGCAAACAGCTTATGAGCCAAGAGGCCAGACTTCCAAGTTATGGCCACGTCTGTGTTACATGCTGGTCTGGACGCTGCTAAACAAACAGCTGCAAACTGAGGCCACTGTCCTTCATCCACGGAGAATGGAGCATGGCCTCTATCTACCAAACACCGCAACTCTGACTTTCTGTCCCCAAGGCAGTGCCTCGGACAGAAGGTTTGCATATGGCAGAGCTTCTTGGATGAATACCATAGGGTGAATGGGGCCAAGGAAAGAACACCCTGACGCTGACTAGATCCCAAGACCAGGGCCAGGGAAAAGCATACTATCAATCCTTGAGAACAAAACCCCACCAATCCCCCAGCTTGCCCCAGGATCAGGCCAAAGAATCCTACTAATCCCAGGGCACCCCGGAAAACTCTACCTCCCCAGAAACCCTATAAAAAACCTGCTCAGTTTACCCCTGCTTCTTGCCCCAGCAGAGGCAGCCACCCTTTGGAGTCTTTCCAAATAAATCCCTTGTGTGAGGTTTGTTGTGAAGTGTGACTTTGTGGTATTCTTTGGCTCAGACAGTCAGGATGCCTTTCCTCTCAGAGCTGTAACACTCATAGATACCCTCTTGGCTCAAGGAAGAGTAGAGATGACACAGAAAAAAACCAAGAGGCATGTCTGGGAAGTGGTGGCACACAGCTTTGATCCCAGGAGGCGGAGGCAGGGGCAGGCAGATCTCTGTGAGTTCAAGGCCAGCCTGATCTACAGAGTGAACTCTATGACAGGTTACAAAGCTATACAGAGAAATGCTATCTCGAAAAAGCTAAAGAAAGAGAAGAAAAAAACCCAACCTAGAGGCTTCACTCTTTTCAATGTGTATCACATACACGCTTAGCTTCAGATAGGTTCCTACTTGCTCCACCAAGGGACCTTGGGACCAGAAATGACATTCTCCCTGACATCCCAGATAAAGACACTTCTCAGGAGACAGAAACTATGGTCTGGCTCCTGGGAGCAGTTCTGAGAGGGACCCAAGCAGCCTGTTCTTCAGGCGAGTGTGCTGTTCTTGGTTACACAACTCCGGCTCCCCAGAGCGCTCTTCTCCCTGAGTCTCACAGCTGCACTGCATGGAGCCCAGTTGTGCTGGCTAGTTTTAATTACCCAAACAGCGCAACCTAGAATCTCCTGGGAAGAGAGTTTTAAGGAGAAATTAACAATATCAGATGGGCCTGTGGGTGTGTCCGTGAGGGGCGCTGTCCTGTGAGGGCGCTGTCATCTGTGAGGGCACTGTCCTGTGGGGGCGCTGTCATCTGTGAGGGACGCTGTCCTGTGGGGGCGCTGTCTGTGAGGGACACTGTCTGTGAGGGGTTCTTTCCTGTGAGAGACCAGGCAGCACTTCGTGTACAGCATTTGCTTCCTGATGAGACCCTGGAGCGCTCGAGACCTCAGGCACAGTGGGTACTGAGGGACAGAGTGGGGAAGGAAAAAGAGAGCAGAGTGTAGGTGACCCAGCCCAGCCAGAGTGAACTGCAAAGGCAGTAGAGTGGTGCTCCACCCAGGGTCTTGACCTGACCCCATCCTTTGGCATAGGTAGGAGCCCAGATCCTCCAGGGCAGGCAGAACAAACCCAACATAAAGGTGTGGCTTCTGGCAGGTGGAGGGAGTCATTGATGACAGAGTTACATTGGTGTAAACATCCCCACCTGGTAACCAAATGGTCACTGTGTACAGCTAAGCCAGAGGGAGTCCCTAGCTGAGACCTCATTGTCTTCTTCCCTTCCTTCTTGGTGACATTTTTATCTGGTGTCTTGGAGAGGCACTGGCCACAGTGGGCAAAGGAGAAACACCCCAGGCCCTGCCTGATCACCTCCATGTCTGGCTATCATTGGTTGCACTCAAGGGAAGTGAGGGGCTCTGGAAAGTTCCTCTGACCTTGGAAACTTATCTCTCTGTTCCCCATGGTACTAGACATGATGGTACTCCATCCTGGGAGGCCGTGGCTGCTATCAAGGGGCTTAGGCCCTGGGATGGAGCCTCCCTACTCCTCTTCTTCGCTTCAGCCCCTCTTTCCCTTTATTTCCTGACTTCAGCTCTCTTGTCGCCTTCACTGGTGGTCCCCCTGCTACTTTGGTGAGGATAGGCTCCAATGAATCATTAGGGAAAGCAGAGAGGACCCAGCAGTGCGGAGCAACAGTCCCTGCCAGGTTTGCAGCACGGAAGTCCAAGCTGGCTAGGGACTCGTGTGATAAGACAAGAAGAGGACGGGAGCCACTTCAGGGGGCCATGTTTGGCTTTGCCCTTTTCTGGAATCGCCTGGGATGCCTTGGAGGCATAGGGGTTTGTTCTTAGAAGTCCTGCATCTGCTCCTGACTGATGGAAAGGAGGTCTGAGGAGAGTCTTGCCAATGACTCCCTGATTACACAGTGTAAAGGTTCAGAAGAACATTTGGCTCCCCAGCATGAGGATCTCTCGACTCAGACAATCTGGGTTTACATCCTAGTTCTGTGGTGTGACCATCACACAGTGATTCAGGTGCTCTATGCCTCAGTGTCCTCAAAAGCTTCAAGTCTCCCTGGGGTGGCTGTGTGGCTTACACAAGTTATAGGTGAAACACCGCAGTTGAGGCCGGACTTGCAGAAGTCCTCAGAGTCTTTAAGATAATTTATTCAGCACCTACTGTGTTTCTTTCCTGTTAGACAACAATGGATGGAAATACACCTTCTTTTCAAACAAAGAAAGTGAGAGCTCAGAGTAGGGAGTCTCCTGCTGAGCAGTGATACCAAGAGGCATGAGGAAGGGTCATACCTCACCCTGGACAGATAGACATCCAGGGACAGGAGAGGGACCCAGGAGTCCTTGCCACTGTCCATCAGTGACTAAGCTCAAAACTAAGAAGGATCCTACTGCACCAGCCAATACAAGCCCTTGGAAGCCAGGTGGGAAGTCTGGAAAGTTCCAGGGGAAAGACTGCTAGAAAGTACAGAGAAGACTAAGACACGGGGCCTCTGGACTGAAACCTCCACGTATGGGGGGAATCCAATAGAGCACTCCAAAGTGCAGGAGACACAACACAGTCCTTCCCAAGAAGGAAATCATGCCTACTGCCCCCCAAGTAGGCTCTGTGCCAGGCAGAGTGAGGATAGTCACATAGCAAGATAAGCAAAAGGAGAGGGAAGGTGGCCTTTTCACCATCACAGGTGAGGGAGGTGGCTTCTGTACCTGGGCATGAAGTGGTTAGGTACACTGTGGGAGGAGGCCATGGGGGCAGATCCAGAGTTGGCATCTTGGCACAGGAGAGCAGGCCAAGTGGGAGTCCTGGGGTAAAGGCCACCAGCAATAACCACCTGTCTGTCTGTCTTCCAGACATAAGATAAGAAATCAGCACTGACGCTGACATGGGACACTTATCTACACATTCTTGCTGAACCACCCTTGACTCTCAGAAACTGAAACACAGGCAAGGCAGGGAGCAATTATACTCTAGAAGGTGTTAGTTTTGCTCACTAACGGCAGATCCTCTGGGAAAAAAAAAAAACCTGAGTTCAAGGATAAAGAAAATGCTGTTCATGTGCACACAGTGTTTTCAGTCATACAGACCAACAAGGTAATGAATGCTGTCTGCAGGAAAACAGGCACAAGTGGAGATCAATTAAGTCCGTATCAGACAGGTCTCACCTTTTCTCTCAATTAATGCCCCTAATCTTTATAGACACATGAAATGATAAATGTGCAAATGAC